GAGAGGGAGAGGGAGAGGGAGGGAGCGGGAGCGAGCGGAAGCGGAAGGGGAGGCGAGGGGAGGGGAGGGAGGGAGAGGGAAGGGAGAGCTCGCATACGCCGTGCAGAGAGGCACAGACACAGGCGCATGCGCGCACGTATGCATGCATGCTCAGATAATGCTGACGGTTCTTGATGTTTGTTACAATCGGGCCGTTGCCTTACTTTTCGCCATTTGCACACGCGACAGCCCGCAAATGCAGGGACCCACTTACGTTTGAGCTGTTTGATTCAACGGGTTCCCGATGCTTGCGCTCGCTGCCTCCGTTTGAGGCTTTCTGAAGCCGTTTGTGAAAGCAGCTGTCGACAAAGCCCCGAAGCATGTCTCGCCAGTGTTTGTTTGCGGGACGGGGCAAGGAGTTTTCGGGGCGGTAGGTCGAGGCAATGAGGTTCACAGGCGTTGAGGTTGGGAATGGAATTGTCACAGTTTCAGGCCGAGAAGGCCCATGCTCGTGTCTGGAGGCTGCAGAAAGAAATCGCGAGACTGGTCTCGTAAACCGAAAAGAAGACTAGTCTTGTCAGCGCATATCAGACAATGATGATTGTTACTCCTACTCGCGCTTACCGTGGCATGTTCAGTAGAAAGCTTGGCTAAGGCAAAATATTTTTTTCATCTTTGCAACGTCTTAACTTTGTTCTTCGTGCTCACCTATGCCGTCTTCCGCTCCTACGCCGGCTTCCAAGACTCTGCTCAGATCGGTCGACTGTAGCAGCGCTCCAGCATATTTGGAAATGTCTTCCGCAGATTTGGTCCTGCTACCGGCGGTTTTCCTGGCTCACGATGGCGATCCTCAACAACCAGACGATTCCGAGACGCTTCCCTCTGAGTTTCCATGAAATGGAACTTGTTGGAGAAGATTGCAAGGCGCTGCCGCAGTCGGTTGCTGTGATGTGGCTTCGAGAATTGCTGCACTCCGGCGGATACCTTGAGAAATGGCCAGGTGGAAACGGAGGGCACCGGACTTCAAGGCGCTGCATGGCCCAAGTCTCTTCTCACCACATACGTTCACAACTCTGCTTCAGGTGTCCCATGCCGGCCCTCCCTTCAACAGATCAATCGGCTATGTTGGAAGCTTATCCTTTGGACAGGTGCGTGATTCCAGAGTAGTGTGCATCCGAGCGACGCGCTCCGGCCGATGCTAGAGGGAATGTTCAATCACTTCCAATCATACTCAGATCTGATGCCACCAATCGCATTAGGACTTCGCAAGGAGTTTCGCTGACAAGGTCGACGTAGTTGTGTTGCAGCACGGTAATGCTGGGCAAATTTGGGGGCAAATTTGGGGCGGCTTGTCACCCCTTGGAGAACAGCCGATGTACTGCGTCTGAGCGCCGTCTCCATGAGTTTTGGGCAGCGGTCGCTCGCGAGTCGCACAGGCTGCGACTGGATCTGCGTTTGCTGTTCCAACCTTCTGAGAAAATCCTGCTTGCTGCCCACCCCAATCTCAGTTTGCTGTTAAACCCACACCTGATGGCACCACAGCGGCATCGTGCAGCGCGCAGGTGCATCGGGCTGTCAATTGCTCCTGAAACCTTGTGCTCAAGATTTCAGTGTGCAGCATGTGCAGCTTTGTGGCCACATTGAAAGCACGTGCTCTGTGTTTGCTTCACTGGCAGAGTTTAAGGTCAAGGATCTGCATACTTGGACAGCTTGCATCAACCTTGGCCGAACGCTTTCTCGGGCTACGACTGGGAGGCGCAGCGGCTCAGCCTCCCTTTCTTTTCGGGGCTTTCTTCTTTTCGCCCCTGCGATATGCGAGCTCTCGAGGAGCAGATCTTCGGCTCCAACAATGCGGCTGCCTCACGTGGTGTTGGAACTCCGGCAACGCGTGACTTGAAGAGTGGTTTTGAGGTCGGATTCCGATGCGTTGAGGGCATTTGCAGCGTGCGGCAATGGGTGGTGGAACGTGTCGGGGCCTTACTCCCAGTCCAGTCCAGGCAGGACTGTGCTCAAGACGAAGCGCTGCAGCCGATCTTGCCTGACGTCCGTTTAGGGCTTTGCAGCAGCGGCTTGATCTTGTGAAAATGTGGCTTGTGAGGGAGATTGAGGGAGGTGGTCCTGTGACCGGGAGCCGCAACATTCGAGGAGTAGCCCGTGAATCCGGGCGGGGCCTTGTGCTGGACTGTGACTTGTGGACGACTGTGACTACTCATACTTTGACTCTCTTCCATCATTTTCATGTTCTTGCCGGCACCTTGCGTAAGGCTCCTACACCGTCACTCATCTTGTTCGTGCATACTGCATACTTGCTAGTTTGAAGAATGTGTCGATGCTTGAAAGTGCCGGTGATGCGGCCGTTCTGACGCAAAGACAAGATGCACAGGGACTGTATATGTAAAGGACATGACAACCTTGAAGTGTCTATGCAGCTGCTTCTCCTGTCCCTTACTGCACTGTTCCACCAAAGCGGAGTTCTTTTTGCGCCACCGGACTCTGGCGCGATGCATGTCCTCGATAACTGGGATGCCTCTCAGGAACATGCCGTCAGTTGCGGTCGCGGAAAGGCTTGCGCTGTTGCTGCGTTACTGGCGAGAACCTGTCCGCAAGTCGACAACCAGCGGACCAGCCATCCTTCCCATCATCTCCCCCCCTCGTATTCTTCCCAACTATATCTCCGCGGGCAAGCGTCGCAAACGGTTGGTTCTAGCAGTCTAGCAACTAGTATAACAGTGGGTTTTCGGTCGGTTCTTCGACTTTAAGCTAAACAGGTGCTGCACGCCGCTTCAAGCTATCAACGCCAAGGATTGCATCGGAATACCAAGTTTACTACACGAGCCCAGAATGTGCGGTGCTAGGGTGCTCGCCACTGGCACACTGTTACGTTGCTAGGCGAATGCCGATCAAGCAAGCACCAGGGTTGACCGGCTCTTGTTAAGTTAGTGTCTTCTGTGAGGCAAGATAAGCAAGCGTTGCTATGTCAAGACTGTGCAAGCGCCGAGTGGCTGCAACCTTGTTGTGCTCGGGTGGCCAGGAATATACACTGCTTGGCATTATCTTGTTTGCCATCGTGCTCAATTGCTGTCTTCGCAACCCTGCCCTGTTTGAAATGCGAACGGGTCCTATCGGAAAATCGAAGAATAGGTGATTCAATTTGGAAGGAGTGACTTGTGAACATCGAATACGAGAGTTGAAGGTGCTCGCCTCAGGGCTCAGGTCATCTCAGGGCGTTCTGTGAGATTGTTGGCCGTCAGCCGAGGCCAAGAAACTACAGGAACGTCAGCGGGAGTCACAAGACTTCAGGAGGGGAAAGCGTCCGACGACTCTTCGCTGCAAGGAAGCCAGGCGAGAGTACGAAGACGTTCTGTTCCGTTGCACTTCCAAGTTGGGCTCCGTAAACGAAGCATGCCGACCGAAAGGTGCAGGTGCACATAGAAGCAAAACAATCAAGGTTCGGTGGAACAGATGTTGAACTGTAGATCAATCAGTTTGGCCGCATAGGGTAACGGTGGATGTCAGACCTGCCTGTGTGGCTCGTTCAGGAACCTGAACTACGGGCACTGCTTTTAGGACAGGTGTTGCAAAGCGCCACCTTCAAGTTTGTACACTATTTCTTGCCAGCAGTGCTCAAATGGAGCATCGGTCAACAATGCAGGCGACTGAAACGTGGCCCGTGCTTTGACTAATTCATCTTGCGCTGACAAGGCTGGGATAGGCTGGGTCTAGCCTTTACTCTACGGGCTTTTTTATGAGAGGTAGTGATCCGAGTCAGCACAAGCCGTAGACTTAGGAGTTCTCAAAGCCTCACGAAGGCAAAAAGTTTGCCTTGCGCCCGACATGACGGCTCTGTCATTCAAACTCAAAAATGACTCCGAAGATGCAGGCCAATGCGGACCTATGTCCCGGACTTGTCACAGCTTTGGGAGCAGATCAGGCACATGGGTTCACAAGGTACAAGAAGAGCGCGCGACAAGGAACATATGTGCAAACTGCACAGCTAAGAAAGCACAAGTCGTTGTGTTGTGGTGGGGCTTGTGCCACACCCCTGCTGAGATGCAGACTGTAGCTCTTAGGACTGCCGCCATTCCAGTGCTCTCCATGAGCGGTCGAGCCAAAACCTTCATGGAAGGGCTGGTGCTAGGGTCAGCAGCAAAAGAAGTATACCATCCTGCTCGTGCTCTTCAGGGTCTAGCATTTGAGTAAGTTGTTCACGCACTGTACGTTGGACAACCATGTACAATGCACACATTCTCTCCACCCCACTTTGCCCCCGGCCAGCATCACTGCTCGCCAACCAGCCGTCTCAGTTCAACAGCACTTTGTCTGGGTCAAGCAGAATCAGCGGTGGATGGACCCCAATAGCAAACCCGAAGCGTGCGGAGCATGACACAACTCCTGCGAAAGACGACTCTGGTTGCTGCATGTGCATCGGTAGAGCAGGTGCCTTTTGCAGCATTTCTGAACCCTCGGGGAGCAAGAATAGACGTACGGCTCTCAGCCAGGCTAGGCAAGTACGGATGCAAGCAGAAGATGAGCTAAGTCGTTGGTACGATGCTTCCCATGAGAAGGTCCTAGCAGGAGCCGATCCGCCAAGGCTTGTGGAGAAGGTGCCTCCTACTGCCAAGCGTGTACTGTATCAGAAAAGCCTCCAAACCCCGAGGTTAAAGCGCTTGCAGCTCGATCGTTCGACCAGGCGGTTGCCGACGTCCCTGAAGCGATCCTACCTGCAGCGAGTTTTTGGGTATGCGCAAAAGCACCGCTTTGGTGTTCCCTCTCAAGGCTGTGGCACAGGATCTGACAAGCCGGTTGAAGGCTTTGGTGAACTTCTCGCCTGCCATGACCTAAGTCTGGTCTCCTAGCCGCTACTGCCACTGCCAGCGCCACCCCCCCCTGCCCCCGCCCCTCCCCTTCCCTGCCCTCCCCCCTTGCAGCAGCAGCCCCAGCCACCCTCAACCACCACCAGCATCAGCACTACCAACACTGCTGCTGCTCCTACCACTACCAGTACGGCTACTACTACCGCTTCCATTACCACTGAAAGCCGTAGCGGAGCTCTCGGAAGACAGGAAGCTTCGCGCCACACGTAACCTTTTCTTTTCTTGTTATCGTGGTGTTTGCTAGCTAGTTGCTTGCACGCATGCGTCAACATATCTATGTGTATGTAGCTCTCGGCTGCAACATGCATGCGCAGATTTTCACACAGGTCTGAGTCGCCCGCCCGCATGAGCGGCCAGACTCCACAACCTTGAGCAGCACCCGTGAAAAGGAACGTCTCTTCTGCTTACATGTTGCATCATGTTGCTGTGTTGACGTGAGTACATGAACATGTCTAGAGAACGCTTCACATCGTACGCTCCCCGTTGGTGGAACCGGGGAATCTCCGGTATACTTAAGTCTGTGCAGACAGCCGGAGGATCTTCTCTACCAACAGCAATATTCCTATGTGACAAATCAGGGCAGACAACTTCAAGAGCTGCGCCGTCTTGCTGCATTTCAACAGGTAGCCGCAAAGGAAATCATGGACGAGGTAGTTGGTTTACCTATGAAAATGCGATCGGCGATTGGTGTGATATCACTGAGCTAGATGCAGACAAGCGTGGACCAGCCTTGCGCAATAGTTTAGAAAGCGGCCATTCGCAAAAAGCTTTTTGACAGAGATCACTTGAAGGATCCAAAGAACGGAGTCAAGTACTTCAAGAGTTTCTTGAGGCCGCTCTCCGTCCAGAGTGCGGCCAATGTTTTCCAGACGCTTCCAGCGGTTCATGAGTTTGCACAGCGCAAACGGAGACGTGCTTCGTTGGATTTCCAGGTAGGGAGGATGCATGTCCAGTTCTGAAGCATTATGAGCCAGTTGTAAAGCCTTATTTTCGACTGGTTGTGCTGATTTTTTTGTTCATGCATCTGCCAAGCGGTATATATTTTGAACTGATGTGAACCAGATCATCGCGTCATCCCGAATCAGATTTTTTACGAAGCATTTGGATCAGTTGATGTGTTTCTTTCTGATTAAGTAAGTATGTTGTTCTTGCTGTCGTTACAAGGTTGTTCGGCCGAGAGGTCAGCCTAGACTCCCTTAACAAACACGTTCCCAAACCTCTCATGAGGGCATTTCATTTCGCTGCGGTAGTCGACATGGTAATCGTGGATTTTTGTGAGGTTCGTGGTTTACCAAGGTTCCTCGAAAGGGAGTTGCATGCACTGTAGATCTGCTTAAATGATTCTTCTTGGAAGAAGCAGCGGCAGCAAGTTGTTGCATGCCCTTCAGTTTTGGGCGCCCTTCTTCGGCCAGGAGAATAATTGAGCTCTTTGAAAGACTTGTCATCGTCATTCCTGTATCTAGAATACGGAAGTTGCCCTGGAAGGGCCAGAACCGTCGTTCTACTTTGGCAGCCTTAAGGATTCAAACAAGTTTGTTCAGTTCTCTTATGTCACCAACAGTAAGTTTTGCTGCCTCACGTGCGCATCGGCCAAACCGACAACAGACGTAAGCCTGTGCACGGCTTTGGAGGCAATTGGTTTGCCCCAGTACACTTCTGCAAGCAGTCTGCTGCTGTAGAATGCAGCGTTGCTCATTCTTGAGATTTTGTAAAAAAAAAATTCCTTACTGTTTCGACAGCAAAAAAAAGATTCACAGAAATGTGGCTGTGTTACCCGCGGAGGCATCCACACTAGGCGTTGTCCGCCAAAGCATAATGTCGTCGTTGTCGTCAGAGCCGACGTAAACAAAACCTTTCTTCATAGAGTCGATGACTGCATGGTGAAACATTTCATCTCCGGCCATGCAGAGATCATCGACATGAAGACACACCACACCGTGTACATCTCTTCCTGTTGCATTATTACCTGCAATCAACCGAGAAGGTAGTCGATAGCAGATTCAGATGATTGGCATCTTTTCTCTTCTTATCGGCTTACAGTGCTCCACCACCTACAGCAGGTTTCTTCACCCATGCTGCAATCTGCGGAGGATGACCTGTCCTCGGAGGCACCTGACAGATAATGTCCCGTGACTCATCCGAGGCTTCTCCTTGGAGAGAGGCTGTCCTGACATCGATATGGGTTAGATCCCAAAATCGATTCGCCGCTAACAGATTAGCAAGGAAACAGCGTCGACGACTTGCAACAGGAAGCAGGAGACTCTGTCTGTTCAGTACATGTTGAGTATCCTTTTGTCGGTCTTGGAAGCCTCTTAGGACCCAGCGGAACTTACACTTCAAGAAGATATCGCCTTTGTCGCCGGTAACATAAAAGATCATAGAAGCTTCCTTTGCGCCTTTTGAGACAGGTTCGCGGAGCCCGAGAACATGCTTAGTGACGGAGTTTGGTCATGTTTAGTCATCGCATCGTATTCTTTTCGAAGATCGGATCGGTTCCTTTGTGAAGGACGATGCCGAGTGTTTCTGGTCGAAAACGAGAAGGTATTTCTCTGGTTTCTAGCGGACTACCATGGAGGTATCTCGGCATAGAGACGGAACCTGTGTGGCAGCAGAGTTCTGTTCCTCTGTGAGCAGAGTCCAGTCTCTAGTTTCGAGTTTGACCTGATTCAGCATGACTCTCCGGTTCCGGAGATCCGGAGTTGTGAGGTTGTGACGGTTGACCAGTTTTGTTGGGAGGAAGCTTTTCGGACGAACTTTTTCCTCTTCGCTTCCTCGCGCTGTAGGTAGCACAGGTTCCGAGATAGGTTTCAGAACAGCTTGCGGTGACCACAAGTTGTAAGGCGAAGCCTTTCTTTCTGATGCTGATCTTGGCTAGACATCGCCCCCCAGACGCCGAGGAGACGCAGGTTGAAGAAGTGGATGCATGCCAGGCTTAGCGCGAGCGGGAGCCAACCCCAAAAGAGGCGCATCAGTAAGTACAGGGACCTCAGAAATGGTACCATGAGGAGGAGGGCTGGGAGGAGGTCTCGGCGGTGGCTGAGCCTCGTCTGGATCAGCATAACCGCCTCGTTCACTGTCACTTGAGAGCGCCTGGTACTCATCGGCTCCAAGTTTTTGATCTCCTCCCCGCCCTAGCCCGATCGAAAACTTTGGGCAGGGTGAGGGTGCGTGTTTGTCAGCGACGCGTCTGATGACTTGGCTGATGTCGGCCAGGATCGATTGTTAGCCGTGTGGTCAGTGAAATGTTGCTGGCCGTACTTTCCATCACCTTCATAAGACAAAAGCAAGGGCGTGACCGGGCGTGAGTCTGCAGTTGGGTTCAGGACTTGCTTGGTTGGCTTGATTGGGTCTTTGTTCAGGGTTGCGGACTCGCTAGGATCCCGGTGCGATCCAGTACTCCTTAATCTGTTCGCTCTACCAGAGATCCTTGTCTTGAGAAACGCCCCCCTCTTCTCTACGTCCAGGCGCATCATGTCTCACCAGTCATCGATCAGCTGCCCAACCAGAAAGTGGTGCCATCGTAAGGTGGGAACGATCTTCGGCGTAATGCCTAGATGGTGAGCGTTTTATCTGATGATGAGTATGCATGGTGCGCAGCATACGATGCTGGCCCTTGGGAGGGGTCGTCATTCGAGTAGCCTGCGGAGGAATGGCTGCGACTGCCATCACGGTCTTTTCGCGACATTGTGCCTGTCACATGCCCAAAGAAGCGATTGGCCTTAACTAACCGCTAAGGCGGTCTGTCCCGTACGGAAGATAGTGCTTAGTTCCACTCGCTAGAAGAGCTAGGTGTACGATTGAGCCACATGAAACACACTTAAAACGTAAACTTCAAAACATATAACCACCGCACCGCACCCCTCTCCCACCCCTCACCCCCGCACCAACCACAAACCAACCCCAGCCTCCAGCCCAGCCCCAGCCCAGCCCACACACACCCCAGCCCCGTGCCACCGCCACTTCCCCCCCGCCGTTGCAACGCCAACACCAATGCAAACGCCACCAGCAGACGGCAACCACTCCCACAACGGCAACTATATCAACAACAACGACAACAAGAGCAGTAAAACTCCTGCTGTTGCTCCCGTCACACTATTGAAACCAACCTGCTACTACTACTACTACTACAACAACAACTACTACTACTACTACAACAACAACTACTACTACTACTACTACTACTATTACTGCGACGGCAACTACTACTGTCACTACTACTACTACTAC